TTTTTTTAAAAAAAGTTGAGATTCTGAAAAACTAAAATACAAAGTACTGCTTACCATGATCGTGGTTTTCCTCAAACACTACACACGTTCCAAGGGTATCTGAGGATGAGAGTAAACAAATTGCTAAGGGAAAATATGAACTTATTTTAAAGAGTAATATCTATTTGACTCTATGCAAGAATTAGAAGATTGCATGCATAAATTCAAATTTTATTTACAGCCCAAGATCAAACACGATAAAAGACTTGTATATAGTACAATATCTAAGTGGTGTGCTGGCATAGAGGTGAAGATGCTCATCTCCCACTCAGAAAGTTGACTTTAATCCTGGACATTTTAATAGCACATGAGAGACAGATTCTACCTCTAAGTCTGAACAGAAATAAGTTTGGTATTAGATAGGAGGCTTACGTATCTTCCAGTTGTTGCCCCAATAGGTAATGTCCCAATTTTGGCTCCAATAGTCTCTTATGTGGAGCACATATTAAGCGCTAATTATAAATGTGGCTAGTATTAAGCTTAACTCACTATCCACAGAATTGCATGCTTTTCCTTGATTTATTTTAAAATTTGGTCACCCAATCAGGATTTTTTACATAATTGAGACAATTACTGATTTGAAACTATAAGTTAATTTTTGATCCGTTTATTGGCTAGATGAGGAAGATTTCCTCTGTTTCTATAGAAAAAAATTACAAAGAAAGACAAAAAGAAAGGAAGATGGTTCTTAAGGTTCATGTTCCTTTACATCATGCCTTATAAAATAACTTATTCATTACTTTTCTTACCTTCATATTCTCCAGCAAAGATATATCTGTCTATTTGCAAAATAGGTCTCTCTGTGTCAATTCCCTAAAATCATAAAGACAGAAGCACATTTGGGAGAAAGGAAGTCAGTGAATTCAAAGCATGATCTAAGCCAGGTGATATCTCTAAAACTGATAAAAATGACATGCCATTACAAAATGTTTTGTGGATGGACAGACATTTATCCCTGCCATTTGTAATGAGCAGGAATATCCAGACATCATGAGTGTTGAATACTAGCGCGGGAAGTAAGGTCTCCCTTTCTGATTGGTTCTTGGGC